GATGGAAGACAGCGCTGATTCCGATCCTCCGAAAGCGACCGTCCAAATCATGTGCCTCAAAAGAGACCTTACAAGTAGTTTTCACATTTCACTTGGGACATGAAGTGTTTTTTGGGGGCTCCTGCTGAGCAGAAGTAGATTATAGAGGCAAAGGAGCTGATTATATTAACTTGCAAGATGATTCTCTTCCTTCCTGAACTGGAATAAAAAAAGAAAAAAAATCAGTCTTTTTTCATTATAAGAGTAGATACTCTTTGGGGTTTTTTGTGTGTGCGCAAATCCTGGTTTTAGTTAAAAAACCTAGCAAAAGCCAAGAAAGGGACTCCTGCTCTATTGAGAAAAGCTAAAATAAGTCCTCTCTCTCATATGTAGAGCTGTTCTATAGGTGGATTTAATGCACCCATGTTGTACATTTGCTAATGGCATAACTTCATTAAATGTATAGTGTTTCAGTACACGAGGCTACGTGTTTAACAGTCCACTGTGCTGTATCTGATAAAACCAGTTAATTTTTAGGAAGCTGATTTGAATTTAAAAGTAGTTATAGTATCCCAGTGACATACCACTGAAAATTAGAGCACGCCAGGCCCTGCTTTTCCTGATTCTGGAGCTTGTATTTATTGGCTGGGAAATGCAGTTTTGAGTAGCATGCTGGCAAGTCATTTATGACTATGGCAGATAAATGTCTCCCGGGGACTTTGGCAGCAGGGATTTTAAAATGTTTAATAAGTAGCAACAGCTTGTGCATGGTGGGACAAGGAGGGGAATGTTGGAATCAAACCTCTCACTGTTTCTTATGTGAGCTCAAATTAAAGGGAGAGCCCAGTTGACTGTTATCAGTGAAGAAGGGGGAGGTTGAATGGAAATGCCCACGACAGAGGGGACCAAGTGCTTTAATAAGAAACTGCTGACAAAGTTACTCGGCATGCTAATGTAATTTGTATTCACATAACCTCTGTGCTCTGGTATTTGCAGGAGTCCTTGAAATTCAAGGGAATGTGGAGATGAGTGTAGCATCCTCCTCCCTCCCTGAAACAGTCCTGTGGTAGCAAGGGCCATTCCCACAGGCAGAGGTGTTACCCCTCCTCTTGCTAGAGTTGGAGATGGCCAGCCCTGGTCCCAAACAGACATCTCTTCTATCACACTGACATCTGCACGTGTCCTGACTCTAAGAGCTCTCACCGTGTCTCTCTGAGAACAGCCCAGTCCTGATTTGTAATTATTCCATCCACTTTGGTTTTCACTTCCCGGTTCTGCAGAGAGATAACCCGAGATGTACAAACCCATGTCAAGGCTGTTTCCTTACTCGAAGCCCTGCAATGCCCCCATGTCCCCAGAGCCAGCTCTTCTGCACTCGTGCCACCACTACTGACATCCTCCAGCACAGTCTGGTATTGCTGTGCAGGCTCCAGACCCCACGATAAAGCAGGGGTGTATGTTGGCCATGCACTTCTCGAGCAGCAAAACGTTGGCAGTCCCAGAGCTATCACAGTTTTCCCATAGGTGCCGGCTGCCAGCTCCATCTGCCTTGCCTGTCTGTTCCCAGGTGCTTGCCAGGAGGAAGATGATGGGATGGAAGTTCCCCCCACAGACTGTTCCTCCTCCAGTTCCCAGTCCCTAATATCTTTGGCTGCATGGCCAGAGTTTTGGCAGCTGCAGAGCCCCAGAGCTGACCCATGTTGGGGCCACCCACCCCATTAGGTATGGTCCTAATTTCCTGGTGGTCCCTTCTGCTTGCAGCAAGGGTGATGTAGCTGGTGCGGTGTCCCAGTGCTGTACTTTGAAGCACCCCTTGCAGAACGCAACCTCTATGACTTTGGCAGGAATGAATCACAGGCAGCTGGGCTACAAAGGGCATCCAGCTCCAGCAGCGCCAGCTGGGAGGAGACACCTTGGCCAGGCCAGCTCTAGGCTTTGGCAAGGGAGCAGTCGCTTCCAGCAGCTCCTTGCCAGGGGTGGTTAAAAGGCCGTGGCATTACTGCCTGCATTGCTGGTACCAAAATCTTGGCAAGCCTTAGTTGCCCCGAGGATGCGCTGGTGGGGATTAGGGGCAGTGTTAGCCAAACCAGCAGTTGCCACCTACTCGAAGGAGGCAGCACTCTCTTCCCAAGGCTACCCAGATCCCTGCTTCCCTTTCCCCGAGTCACACCAGGGACAAATTCCTCCCAGAACCTCAACCCTGTGATGGCTTTGAGTGTTTGAAACAGTGTTTGCATGGAGCAAAAAAGACCCATGAGAAGCTGGGTCGAAAGGTACAAACCCCTGGTGAAGACCTGCAGTGCAGTGAGAACTTGATGTGCATCCCACTTACAGTGCTCCCATCTGAGCAGCTCCAAAGAGAAGTGATGCTTCCTATATCCATCCCCATCCATGTGTTACAATGTGAAGAGGAGTAGTGCAAGAGTAAATGGGCCACCTTTCCATGCAGCCAAGGAAAGGGATTCGAGTGTGAAATATTCCTACTGGAACCCTGCCAGCCTGAGATGGCACCTCGACAGCCTTACGCAGACTCTTCAGGTTATTACACGAGCTAATGACTTTGAGGAGTTCACCCATTTTTCAAGAGTCTTACAGTCCCGCTGCACCCATACGGCATTGCCTAGACCCGGGAGCCATCCCGCTCTGTGCTGTGGCGAAGGTAGCTCCGGTTGCATTTCTCAGCGTCCTGAAGTAGCAATGGGATGCAACTGCGCCCATCTGCCTGCTTGTTCCGTGAGCATCTTCTGCTGGACCTGCACCAAGTGCAGGAACTATGGACATTATGTCAAAAACGGGGAAAAAATATATATGTAAATGTATATATATGTATGTGTTGCTCTGCTCTTTATCAAAGCCTTTAACCAAAAAATGTAAAAGGGATGGCTGTTTAGTGTTGGGGACAAACCTGTCCAAGGGCAGCTACTATGCTCCTGAATCCTCAGCCTCTGCAAAAGCTTTGCCCTTCCACTTAGATGGCAAAATTAGAAACAAACATTTTCAGTCTCGAAGCCTTAAATTTCCCTCTTTGTCAGTGAAAATTCCTTTTTCTACAGGATCTCAAGTGTGTTCCAGTGGAAGTTGCAGGCATGGGCTGCAAAGAGCCATGCCCCCTCGAGGGACTGGACTCTACTAGCCACAAGCATTTCCACTCAACCAGTGGCCCTATAGCCCCTTCCCAGCCCTTGCCTTGCCCCATTTGCCTCCCCATGGGGCCATGCCATGGCTACCCAAACTTTGGGCAGTAGGATAGCAGATCATTGCTTCTGTAAGACTGGAAGGTCCTGGGTGCAAATCCCACGGCACTAACCCACATAGCCTGTTGCTCTAGACGCTCTTTAAAGGCCAGTTATATGCCAGACCCATCACCAAGGGAAATGTCACTGTGGCCTCAGGTGCTTTTATGGCTTGATTATGAGAAGTCATTTTCTTGACTGCTTAAGAGAGGACTCGCACCTCCACCAAAAGGAGTTTCCCTTCAAAATGCAAAGGCATAGCTTAAATTACTTTGACCCCTGGGCTTGTCTCCAGTCTGAAGGGTGGTGGGAAGGATCATGACCAAGGCTCACAGCTTGAAGGAGAAAGTCCAGCAGTCTGGAGCAGGGGCTGCAGCTCCTGGTGTGAGGACCAAGCCCTCAGTAGCTGGTGCTGGTTCCAAAACTTGCTCCATTTTGAGGAAAAATCGTGATGGAACCAAGACACGAGCCAGTGCCACAAGGGCTCTGCAGTTGAGCAGCATCCTGCGTGCTCAGCCCGAGAGAAGAGGAGCAAGACTAATTTGGCATCGCGAGAAATCCCGCAATGTTTGCTTCCTCCAAGCTCTTTATTTTTTTTTATTTTATTTCTTTCCCTTTCAACTGAAGATTGGAGCTTGGAAAAATCATTAAGCAGCGGTGACCGGAGGGAATCACGCAGCTCATCATATCTGTGTCATCACAGCTATTGATCAGAGCCGTGATGAAAACGGGCCAACAGCTCTAAACAACATCAGGCGAGAGATGATGAGACGAGGGTCATTAAGAGCCCTGATGCTTGGTTTGGGTTTAAGAGACACAGATGATTGGGAGCAGTCCCTGAGACACTATTTGGCCGTAACTTAAAAACAGTGAGGGATTTCTGTAATATATCTGTAGGTGCTTTATTGAGCGTAGGGATCGGCATGAGATTCTGCTCAGTCTATTATACAGATGGCGAAACCAGAATAAATCAAAATTGTTTTAAAAAAAATAAAAATCTAATAAAGTACTTTCTCAGCTGTGACTTGTAAGTGTCACCGTGATAGATGGCAGTGCAATCCATTATGCAAAGACAAGGCTCTTAACATGAAATTTTAGAATTCAATTTTACGATGTACAGCGAGGGCCCCCCCTCATATTTACGGCACAGCAGTCTGTTTTGATTCAATCTCTGTGTAATTGAAACCAGGGCCAGGGATCTCGCTTAGTCCTACTGCCGCTTTTTAAACGAGGAGGAGAAGTAAGCTTCTATCACGTTAATAGCAGAGCTAAAAATATTGCTTTGCTTGTTAAATCTTATTTGCTTCATCTCCTCACTCTGGTGACACTGCCAAAACTGGGAAACATGGATGCTGTGCCTCTGTGGTGTAAAATCTGGCTTGTGTTTGGCCAGCAGCATCCTCCATCCGCGGCCTGGGGCATTCTTGCTCCTGTTGTTGCAGTCCTCCACAGGACAGCAAGATTTTCAGTATCTCTTTTTAATATAATCACTCTTTTTATGATGATCACTACATAGTTAGATATTTGGATGCCCTTGTCACACCGAAGAATTTTCATGAGGGTTTTTTTTAATAAAAATAAGGCTTTTTTGTATTGTGGACTGGGTTTTTTTTTATCTCTAGGGTGTAATTAAATAAAATTATGTGCGACTGTAGATCAAATTTTAAATGGGCACTGCAGAGACTTGTAGCACCCTGTGCAGGACCCCCCCATAGCACTCAAGGATGAAGGGCCATTGCATGTCCCTAGGG